AAAATATCATTAACAATCTATCGTCAGTTATTATGAAACACCCTTTATAAAATCTTTTTCGTAAAATATTTTGTTCATGACGAACAACTTTAATCTTGTTTCATTGAAAGAAAATGAAGAATGAATATTATGATAATTTACAATAAGAAAGAAGATAACTCTGCGATAAATATTAATTTCATTGACAGAATCCAATATTTACTAGATTACAATGATGACACAACTAAATTCTTTCGGTCAGTTAAAGAAATATTTCAAGCAAAAAAAAAAAAGGAACGTTTTTGTTGTTATTGCCTATTGAGATGGTGCATCAGCAATAATCAATAATATTCTTTTTTTTTTCAAATTAAGAGTTTATAAAAATAAAAAAAAAGAGCAATTACAAAATAAACTTCTATTTAGGTTTGAGTTTGATTATGTGTTTCGAATGATGACTAAGTCAATTTCAGCATCTTTCACCTAAAAAATAAATTTTAATTTTCATAAAAAATCAAGCACAACTTACAGAAAGCTTTTTACTTATAACTACATTATTATCATCTCTATTCATTAAATTGCTCAATGAAACAAATGGTTTTCTAAGAATAGCTTCAATTTCATCTTGTTGTTCAGATGCAATACGAGCTATTTCACTAGTTTGTGGTTCTACTGAATAATAAATTGTTATATCATCAGTTGGATTTAATTTAGCCTTTAACGAAAAAATTAAATATTAGTTAGAATTACTAATTAATATCGAAACAAAAAAACCTCTCGTCAAAGTTTTTGAACTCGACTTGTAATTTCATGAATAAGACCTTCATTGTTCAATGATCCATCAGCTGTATAATCAAGTAAAACAACAAACTATTCATATAAGAAACACAATATAAAAATCTAAGAAAAGAAGTCATACTTCTTGTTCAGCAGTAGCTTCAAATCGTGTTTGTTTTGCTATATAATAAACAATATGAACATCTTCTGATTCAATTGGTACTTCATCAATTATTGTCAATGGACTTTCATCTTGACCATTTGATAACAATTTTTTAATATCTGAATTAGACATTTCACGAATTTGTTGAGTTATTGATTCAATTTTAACTATTTATATATTCCTTTGTTACACATTTAAAAACAAAATAGATATTCTTACCACCAGCTTTTTTGCCTAATGTTGAATAATTTGATTCAGCACGCATTTCAACACCATAAAGTTCACGATCTTGCGATAATGTTACTTTACGTACATTTAAACCCTTTATAGTAAAAATAAGTATAAATATAAAAGAAGCAGGTTCAAAAAAACAACAACACATACTTCTCGAATAAAATGTTCTAATGATTCAATATCTTTTAATACGGACAGATCTTTATGAATAACAACAAATTCTGGTAATGAATACTGAAACAATGATTCAATTTTAAATATTTATATTAAATAAGTCAATACAATTTACTTTCATAGGAACTATTTTTCGTTCTCGTACAGCTCGACCTAATCCAATAACTGTTTGTACAGCAACTATAGCACGCTCAATATTTTTATTTACCAATGAGTGACTAAATTAAAATTTTTGACATTTTCTTGAATATTAAAAAAACAAAGAAAAGGCCAAACTCTGATTTTGGAATCATTTGAAAATGAACACTTAATTCTTGTTCAGAAGATGATGATGTTGATTGTGACGTCAATTTTCTTAAGATTTGATACATGTATTCAGCAAGAAATGGTGTAAATGGTGCCATTAATTTAGCCATTGTTAAAAGAATATAAAAAAGAACATTTAATGAAAAAATACAATCTTCTAATATTGTTTTCACCCTAAACAATAATTGAATTCTATCATTTCTTATTCAAAGAAAAACAAAAGAAAATAACTTTTACGACTATGAATGTAAGAGAAATATTTTTACCTTAAAACGTTTCTTGTTCAATTTGACATACCAATTGGTTAAGACATCAATATATTTAATAAGACGAGGCACTACTGTGTACAAACGATAAGCTAAAACAAAAATGAAATCTATTAGAAATAGTTATCTTGAACGATAAAATTAGTTTCTGATTACAACAGAATTGAATTTATATATAGACAAAGTTTTATTTTTCGTTAAATATGAATTATGTCATATATCAAGCTTCATCTTTGACATTGTCAAATGTATAGAATGTGTCATTGACTGAGAAACAAATTTTATGAAATAAGCCTCAAAACCTTCTAGTTTTAGGAACAGGAGGAAGAGGGCGCAGGTTAGAGACCATCATTTTACTTCGAAAGCTTTTGACTGCAGCTTTCTCTGGATTTGAAAATTGTTGTGAGTCAATTTTCTCCGATTTTGGATCGATTTCTCTACGTCGATTCCTTCTAATCGCTTGTGGTCAAGCCTCCATCTAGCCTCTGCCTAGTTACGCCACTAATCAAAAATTTTTCATTTTATTCCAATGAGATATTAGATTTTTGTAAATAGACTACTATAATTGACTTAAGATTTGCTGAGAAATAATTTGTTATCGGTGAAAAAATTAATCTTACCATCCATTTCTTGTTTAACAAAATCAATTAATGTTTGAGTATAAGATACAATCCATGTATCCATAACATTAATATTTAATGACATTGATGAATATAAACCTTTTTCATCATAAATAAAATTAATTTTTTTATCAATTTTTAATTGATCACATGATTGAATAAGAAGGCATAATGCATTATACCAAGGTAAAAATACATCTTTAAGAATATTTTGAACACCTTTTTCATCAAATTTAAGCGATTCACCATGTACAACAGGTGAAGTGATTAAAAAAAGTCTAAAAAAAATATAAAATACGTAAAATATTAATTTTCTATAATTGAAATAAATTTCACCGAAGCGCATCAGTACCATATTTATCACAAATTATTGTTGGATCAATATAATTTTTCTCTTTTTTTGCCAATTTTTTTCCATCAGTTCCTGAAACAATTCCATTAACAATTAAATTTTTAAATGGTGGTTGATCAAATAATGCTGTTGAAATAACTAATTATGTATAAAACCATCCACGTGTTTGGTCAATACCTTAAGCAATAAAATCAGCTGGAAATGTATTCATAAATGTTTCATGTTCATCAAATGGATAATAAACTTGCGCATAAGGCATTGAGCCAGATTCAAACCAACAATCAAAAATACGTCAGGTACTCGACGTAGTAAACCTTTACCTAATCGTGATGGAATTGTTATTTCATCAACACTAAAATAGAAAAAAGGAAAAAAATAATTATTAATTGAAGAAATTCAAAGAGAAAAGAAACGTAAACAATTTCATTTTACATTTCACGATGAATATCATCAACAGAAACTCCAGATAATTGTTTTAATTCTTCCATTGAACCAACACAAACAATTTCATGTCCATCATCACTAATCCATAATGGAATTGGATTTCCCCAATAACGATATCGTGAAATAGCACAATCATGTGTGTCACGAAGCCAATTAGCAAAACGTTTTTCTTTAATGGAATTAGGTACCCTAAAACATAGGTTTTAAATAAATAAAACTTTGTGTTGATTTTCTTTTTCTTACCAATATGTTTTACTATTATTAGCTAATAATCGATCAACCATATCTTCAACACGAATAAACCAAGATGAAACAGCACGATAAATTAATGGTGTATCACTTCTCGAACAAAATGGATATGAATGCCTGACTACTGATTGATGAACAAGTCTTTTAGCTTCTTTTAAATACTTTATAATAAGTTTTTCAGCATCTTTAACATTTTGTCCTTGAAAATCTTTTACTTCATCAGTAAATCGACATTGAGCATCAATTGGACAAATTACAGGTCCTGTATCTTTACTAATAACACCATTTGCAACACAAACACGATAATCATCTTCTCCAAAAAATGGAGCTTGATGAACAACACCTGTACCATTATTTTCTGTTACATAATCATCACATAATACACGAAATGCTGTTTTTACCTATTTTTTTAAATAAATTAAAACAAAAATTATTTGAAAACACAAAACAAATCTTACATTAGTAAAATAAGGGAATAATGGTACATAATGCATTTCTTTCAAATGAGATCCTTTAAAACTATAAAAATTAAATCTACGTATATTCAAAACAAACAACAAATATAGATTTTCATTTAATTCACCTTTCTAGTATTTGATAACCGTCAGGTTTATTATAAAGTTCAGATAAGCATTTTTCCATTACAATAAAAATTTCATTTTTCATTTTATCTAAAGAAAAAAAAAACAAAAGTTTAAATTCTTTTTTTTTATTGTTGAATTTTCTAGTATAAACAAACCAAGAATTTTGACATAAACTGAATTTGGATTAAGACAAAGTGCAAGATTGAATGGTAATGTCCATGGTGTTGTTGTCCAAGCAATAAGTTTAACTGTCGAATCATCAAGAAGTGGAAATGATCCCCAAACAGCTGGATCAGTAACATCTTTATAGTTTTGACCAGCTTCAAAATTTGATAATGGAGTACAACAACCCATTGAATAAGGCATTACCTTAATAGAATATCTTTATTACCTAGTTTTAGACAACTTCTTTATGCATACTTTAAAACCACGATAAACAAAACCTTTTTCATATAATTGTTTGAAAATAGACCAAACTGATTCCATAAACCATGGATACATTGTTTTATAATCTCGTCAAAAATCAATCCATCGACCCATACGCTCAATAACATCCTGTTTTAAATTATTTTCATGTCTTGTTTTCTTTAAATAAAAATACATACTTCCCATTCTTTAGCATATCACATAACAATTTGTCGACAATGATTGTTATAAGTAGCAATACCTGTTTTAGCTACATCTTCGGGATCTTTAATATCATGCATTTTATCGATTTTGTGTTCCTAATTAAGCAAAACAAGAAATAGTTTCAAGACAATGAAAAAGAAAAAAAAATTGGTCATACCACTGGTAAACCATGACAATCTAAAACAATAAAAAAATAGATGCATCATATAAAAGTCAGAAGCAAAAAGTGAATATTACCCCAACCAAATCAACGTTCAACGTGATGTCCTGTTTGATAAGCCCATCGAGTAACTGTATCTTTAATTGTTCCAGCTAAAATATGTCCAATATGTGGAAGACTAGTAGCGAATGGTGGACCATCATAGAATGTATATCTTCAACAATTAATTCTTTTAGTTATTTAAGACTTTCTTTTTTATTTTTACCTTGGTCGATCTTTTGATAATTTATTACTTGTTTCGAATGCATTTATTTGCTTCCAATAAGCTAAAATATTTTTTTCAGCATTTCCAAATTGAAGTATTTCGCCAGTTACGGAAAAATCTATTGTTGTAGAAGGCAGCATTGTAATCGTCTCTGTATTTGTGATCATCTATGAAGTCAAGCAAAAACACTGTTTTATCCAAGTTTTAAAAATTCATTATTTAAAAGAAAATGTAAGAGATGATGTAATATTCAGAAAACCTCCTGATGCTTCAATAGAGCTGATGCAATTTATTAACTACTTCGGGTTATCCAAAAGTTCTGGCGTCATTATCTTATTTTCTTATAGAAAGCTTAAAAAAATTTTCTTTTTTTATGAACAGATAGGACGTCTTGCGTTCTATTTTTCTATCCTATTTGATCATTATTCAACTAATATCATAATAATAAAATTTCGATAAGAACTGTTTTTGTTGAAAGCTAGCTGGTGGTATATTAGATCATAACGGGTGTTGCATAAAAAATGGGGCACTTTTGTATTTCATTTTATCATCATTAATACATTGTATTAAAAAGCAAATTATACCACAAGATGCAGCGTGAAAAGCTCTACAAATTACAAAAGATCACTTATTTTATAGTTGCACTCTTTGTTTTCAAAATGGACAAAACTCTGAGCGTGCAAATTTCGACGCTACGCAAAAGAATTTTTTTTTGATAAAGACGACTTCGTTTTTTCCTATCTCACCTTTCTTATAATTGTTCTTTGTAAGTTATAGAGCTATTCACGCTGCATCTTGTGATATATTTTGTTTTTTTAATACAACGTATTAAGTGATAATAAAGTGAAATGCAAAAGTGCCCGACCCATTAAGATCTAATGCCACCAGCTAGTTTTCAATAAAACCAGTTCTTATCGAAATTTTATTATTATGATATTAGTTGAATAATGATCAAAGAGCATAGAAACATAGAACGAAAGACGCTCTATCTGTTCACAAAAAAAAGAAAATTTTTTCAAGCTTTCTATAAGAAAAAAAGATAATGACGACAGAACTTTTGGATTGCCCTAAGTATTTCAAAACTTCTTCCTTGCAATCGAACTATGATCAAAATAAAATGGAAATTACAACCATCTAGGCAATAATTATTGTATTTATTTTAGAAAGGATGTGAAGTGTGAACATACTTCTAATTTCTACACACAACCGCACGCACACCTAAGACATCTAGACAAATACTGTATGAAAATGATCACTTTTTACATTGGCTAAATCTTTTGACGGCTCATGTATCGCAGATTCTTAGTTATTTTCGTTTGTACTTTCATGTAAGCTTCTGACTCACAACAGGGAGCCATGATTGGCATCCTAAAATGTCTAATTTTTTTGTCAGTTCACACTGGTCATCACTCTTTTTTTTGTATTTCAGAGCTTTTTGGTTTGTTTTTTTCATGATACTTTTGTCCATGTAACTCATTCATATAGTATTGACAATTGGTACTCAGATAGATGGCTCCAGTAGTATAATCATTAACTTACCTGCAAATTCATTTAAGTAACTACTTCACTAATGTTCATTTCAGAGTTAAATAGGCATGAGTATTTTTCGAATAACTTAAAAACATAAAGAGAGAAGAGTGAATGATCGTGTGGACGTGAGTAGATGTGCTGGTGTATGGATAAGAATATTAGTAGTAGAAATAGAATTAAGGAAATATATTTTGTCTTGTTTATTCTTGATTAATTAGAGAAATGCAAGCATTAAGCACATTGATTTACGTAAAATGTCTCAAATTTACCATCAAGTATTTCCTCAATAGTATTATAGAGATGATCCGTTGATATTTCACTTTGAAATTCTTCTTTCCAAATGTTATCCGTTCTGTCGCTCTTTTTCTTTATTTTCTTGTCCTCAATAATCGGCCATGGTGCATGAAACATAATATAACCAACCAGTCGAAGGCAATCAGCTGTATATTTCAATGGTTCTTGCATATGTGCATGCCATATGATGTCTATCTAAAACAACCGTATTAATATAATCATAGAATAATACTATACTCTTTGTTGATAGAAATTTTACCGCATATGTCGGTGGTACAAAATCGCTACTATCTTTCAGTGGATATTTCGCTGCCATATATAAAAATCGTTCGTAAGATTTTTTTAAACGCTTCATAGCTCCAGTTCCAAGATCAATATAGTCGCGTGATCTTTCATAATAGCCACGAATAGGAACTCGTTGCAGTGAATCATGCATAAATGTTTTACATAAATCAAGCCAACGACTATCGAGAATGATTTCAGCTTCAGTAAATGAAAAAGGATTTTCATATTGTTTTGGTGAGTTCGATGAAAATTCGAAAAATGTTTTATCCCAATACGAATAGCCGTCTTGGGAGTCATTTATTAAATCTTCTTCATCAAATACGTTGTCCGGGATTGGTTTCCGGTGATTTTTATTTGATGGCAATCGACAATATTTTTCACCAAATCGTTCTTCATAAAAACGACACGTATCAATAAATGCTTGCTCTTTTAAGAACTGTTGAATATCTGTAGTCAACAATGAATGATCGACAACTTGACGAAATAAACGAAGACAATCAGCTCTATATATTTCTGGTCGAAGTAAATGTGTTTGCCAAATGATTTCAATATCAAGTGTAGGAATGAGTAGTGTATTCGGTAAATAGATAGCTTTTAATTGCATGAATCGATAATATCTTGTGATCATTTGCTTCAATATAGCAGATTCGTACCATTTATCTTGAAATGTGGATGCTTTTTCCAACAATGATATGAGTTGATGGACTGTTTTGTCAATATCGACAGACAATTCAATTGTCCTAAGACCCAGAAAGAACATCAGCACTATATAAAAGAATAGTGCTTTCAACTGTATATAAAGTAGCATTGATCTTAATGGTCAACTGTTTTGCTTTTGCTGTGAAATATCGATGTAACTATTTCCTATACACACCAAACTAAGTTTTTAAACCAATTAACTTTTATCAAAATTGTCACGAGAAATATTCTCGAAAATCCATTTCTTTTTTCTTCAATTTCAGAAAGTTATTGACAGAATTTTTCTCTTTTTAATAGATCTGTGTCATAGAAGTAAAGAAGAACTGTTCCTATAAGATTCCAATTTTAACTTGTGATATACTTCGACTTCAATAGTTAGGTATATTTATCTTAATAGAGTCGTCATCGAACATTGAACTCTTTCGACTTCAGCTACTTATGATAGGTCAATTAGATGTTGGAAATATGACAATGTTTGTAATCAATTCTGTCATCTATAATTTAATAATCTATTTTAATCAAAATGTGTCAGATAGTTAGGCTAAATCAAAAGTAACGAAATTGAAAAACCAAAGTATTAAGAATTTTGGTTCGGACAAAGAAACAAAGGGAAATATCTAATCGTAGAATTTCGCAAAAAGTGATAGGCTATACTATTTCATATGGCAACTACTATTGTTTAATACTGAACAATACTATAAGAAGTATACTGGTGCGCTGTAATTGATCAGATATGAACAAGAAATTATCAGTGTTCAATTGGTTTTTAAAGTCCTTTCATTCAAGTCTCAAATCTTTTCTAGAAATGCAATTAGTTTCCGTTTTAACTATGAAAGCTCAATTATGAATCATTGGTATTAAGAAGAATCAATCTTGATCAAATTTTCATTTATCTGATAAGAAGATGCAACTACCTTACATGTCTTTTGAGGAGTTTGGGTGTTGGCTAAAACCACCAACAGATTCAAGTGAATGTTCAGCTATTGGTCGAACTGGATATTGTGGTGGTAGACACGTGACACATGCTAGTCGACCATATGATCTCATGTTTATTAATTTTTGTTTTAATTCTTCATTTCGTAAATATTTCTCATACATCCAATCCATGTAAGTTTGTTTGAATGATTTTGAATATAACTTTGTTGAAGCTATTGTATATTTTCAAAAGCACTATTGTAGAAAACAAAAATCAAGAATTCTTACTATTGCATTTTAATTTCCAAATGTCATCTTGATCTGCAACCATTTTGAACAATCGACAAACAAGTGACACATTGCATAGATCAGGAACAGAAAGACATTGAAATATACGTAAGAGAATTTCAGGAGGAAGGCGATTAAATGAAGATGTAGCTAATGCATTCTGTGTTTCAGTAAGTGCCCATGAATGCTTCCAGGTGACCTGAGGTGGATCAATTTGTTTCATAGAGGATGTGGCAAAAATCGTATTCTCTTTTTCCTTTTTTTTGCCCAATAACCGTTTGAACATGCTATCTAGAGAAGATAGACAGCAGAATTATGCTAGACAAACTAAACAGAAGGATCTCGACTAATATTTGCACAAGTCTTCATTGACTAAACTTTAAATGTCTCTAAAAATTTAGTTTGTAATTCTTGTAAAAGTTCAAACACATGTTTTTTGTTAAAACACATGGATACGCTGACATGAATGGTGCCAATTTATGTACTAAAAACTGCTTCGATGCGTCAATTTGAGCTGCTTATGTCTAGCGGATGATTCGTTGTGAAAAGGTTTCGAGTAGCAACAAAAGTTTGCTGAGCAAAAGTGCATGCTGCCCGCAATTTTTCGCTCAAGAGCGGTCGATACATAATAGACCGATATACAGAATAGAAGAAGTTGAACATTCGAATCTACGTACTAACGATTAATAATCTATTGGTTTTAGATAAAAACTATATTTTATAAGAAGATGAATATTATTTGAACTATGTTTGCTTAAGTTTTTCATCTTTAAACTTTTCGATTGTCTAATTGAAAATCAGAAGTAAGTAGTACTGTTGGAAATGTCACACGATTTCAATGAACCAAATTAAATGTTCTAATACTTAAAATGGAATAAAATTTTGAAGCATCTGGCGTCGTAGAAAATCGGTCGAACAGCCTAATATGCACTTTCGATGAAGGTTTACAAAGTATTTGCAACTTTTACAATTTTTAAATACACAACAACAAATCGAGCAGTCAAAAGTGAAGATTTGATGAATTCTTTCTAGTAGAGCAGCAGTAAGTGGGATAAGTTTCAACTGTTCCAGAATAATTCTACGGGTTGAAAATAAGGCTTTGAAATGATCTATATTGCTGAGAACACTGGAAAAATTTCGAGAAGTACGATTTTTGCAGAACGAGCAACCTTACGTTCAAATCAATGTTTGAGTCCTTGTTATATCCCATCTATGCTTTTCTAGGCTTGTTTCCACTCGTGCTAATTCGCGAATAATTTTTGAAATCTATTTTACAGTTAGTATTGTTCATCTAAAGAAACAAAAGCTACATATTTACGATGTACACAGCCGCATTCTCTAAACCAATTCGAAATAGAAGAGTGTATTCCTACATAATATAATATATTCGTAGAAGCAAACTCATAAATGTAGCAAAACAGATGAATGAATTTAGACGAAGAAATCAATAATCCAAAGACAAGCAGCTTTATCATCGGGTAAAGTTGAGATCGAGTACATTTCAAACATTTAATTCGAAGTCGTGTCACGAAACTGGTTTTATCGCATTATTCTGATAGAAATTTTTTTATTAACCTTCGATTACTACATGTTTTACAGATAAAGAAGTTTGAGAGAGGATTTACAGAGATTTTTCTCTAGTTAGTGGATTACCACTCACTATATAATTAATTAATCTAAAAATTCACTTATTTGTTTATTCAAGTCTAATCAATGTTTCCAGTAGGATTATTTATTATGCTATGGATTATACATAGATCTAGACTATCTCTGAAATAGCTAACATAAGAACAAGTATCAGTGCCTGAAAACGATGTACAGTTAATTTTGACAATTCAATTTTTCTACATCATGGTATGAAGTATTATAGAATACAGAAGAATTGTATATTTAGAAAAAATATACTCGATTGTAGGTTAAGCAGTTACCTCTATTGCACAGTGGCAATACAAGTCGATAAATACATTTTCGAAGTATCGTTGTCAACAGGAGTGTTATTTCATCATATTGGATATTATATCAGTTTGTTTTTTTCTCACATGAAACGCGACATCAGTACGTAGGAGTTTTATTAGTGCGAACAAGTAAATGAGTAAATGATAGAATTTATACCGGAAGTATGAACTAATCGATGTCTACGATACACAAAAAATAGACTTGGAACAAATCAACCTAATTTTTTTGACTGTCGGTTGCATTTTCCAACGCTTTATGAAAATATTTCCTCCGACAAACTATATCATGCTTATTAATCATACGAGTCAATAACGAATAAGAAAGAAATGACAAAATATTGTAGTGCATGATCGAAGTCTGTTGATTCATCAAATCAATAGCAAGAAATGCAGTTGAGAGGCGCCACATGTCGGAATACTTGTTTCAAGATTCTTATTCTTATCATTCGACGTAATAAAGTGAGATAGACATTTTAGTATAATTTGTGTTTTAGGCCCAAGTCGCATTTCTAAAATCATCTTTGATCAGGGGTGACAAGAACGCAATAATGGCTTATTTGAACCAGTAGAAACTTTTTTTCACGTTCTCTCTCATTCATTTTTTAGACCACAATTTTATAGGCAGTTCGAAAGAAAATAACTTTTTACACTCACTACTGCTGAATGAATTTCGGACCTGTACGGAAACTGCAGCTGGCGTGCATAAATGCATTTCTTGATATTGTTGCGTTATTCTGTCTATACTTCATTGGCTCTGATCACGTACTATTACAACGTAATAATCTCCAGACATGAATAAAAAAGTAAACGAAAAAGTGTCAGGACATATTAGAAGTCGTACGGTCAAGCGTTCGTAGACATAGCATTATTACTTGATCAGTTATGCTTACTACTAAATCGTAACATAAAAGCAGTAAAACTGTTTTAATCTGTGTTTTATAATTATAGCCTTGACACAATACATCAGCTGTATTTGCATGAAGGAATTGTATGCACATAACTGCTTCGTTTTGAATGAAATTTCATAAGTGAATTGGTGTGCACCTTCTTCAAGAAACATCGCTGATAAGATAAGAAATAACTCTGTGTAGCTATCTATGATCTAAAGCAGCTTTTCTCGAAATGTTCTACACCTTAACTAATTTTCAACTTTGCTTCGCATTTTAAGAATATTTATAATTTTGAAGAACAATAATAATAAGAAGACAGCACAAAAGTAGAAGGAATCAAAGAGAGAATGAAGGTAGTTCAACTTCTGAAAAAAGTAGAGCTTAGTAGGGATCAAGTCTATTTTACTAACATGCTAGTCAGATTTTCGTGCCTATGTAGAGTTCTCAATAAGATCATGACTTAATATTCACTTAATTCTTGATCGATTCTTTCTAATTTACAAATCAATTCTCGATTTTGCAAATATTGGACACTATTGAGTGAAATTTCAACAATTCTTGCATGTAATATAAGCTTTTAGTGCTTCGATATAAAATCTTTTATCAATAGTTAAATATTGATTTTTCAAAAGCATTTGTCAGTGAAATCTTCATTAGAAAAAGGTGTGGATGTGGATGTGTGAATGTTGATCTAGAGAAAAATCACATATTCGCCCACACCTTCAGTCGTTAGATGAGATTGAGTGTACTGTATTCTCACCCGCACACATGATGCTTGTTTGACGTAAGCGCATAGCGAGTTAAGTGATGTCATTGTTTAAGATGACAGAACATGACAATCGTAACTACCGTGAATCACAAGAAACAATAGAAAAAGTTTGAAGAGTGTTTTTTTTTCGTTCTGTTTCTTCTTTTTTTTATCGACAACCAATTGTGATATCTGCCTAAGATTGTCTTTCGTTGCTGTGTACAGGTGGGTAGTGAATTTGCGTCAGTAAAAATAAGAATCATGCATATTGTGGAGCCCACACTTTTGTTTTGACTACGAGCCACGATAAAATAGAGTGATTACGCTGGTTAAAGTCATATTTTACGTTTCGCATTCCTGCTTAGGTTACTGGCAAGTAGGAATGGAGCTGATTCGCTTCAAACGAATTCAGTTTAGTAGACCTCAGAGAATCACGTTGTTGAAAACGACGAAGCTATAATAGTATTGTTTTCGAGATACGTCAGAAACCGACTGAGAGCTCTCCTTAAGAGAAGGTTCAATGATCTCAAATAAGAATTTGCCTAGCAAAAAGTGGAGCACTATGCGAACTAATGCAATAAGTTGCAATAAATGCGACTAACTATGTGTTGTCAATTATAGATATACCAGCGATGGCCAAAATTCATCCGTCGTGCCAATTTTGTACAGGTGAATGAGTGCATCTTTTCGCCAATGCCAGTTGTTAACGAAGAAGTTTCTGTGTTTAGACAAGCTGTGGTTCGATCTGACATATCAGCCGAAAGATTTGCAACAGATCAAACAGCCACATGAGTTGGAGGACCAGCTGAAAAATCCTCCTCAGTCAATCAATGGTGAGGTTTTGAATCGTGCTCAAGGATCAATCGTCGGAATGGCTTTGGGTGACGCTCTTGGCGCTCATGTGGAGTTTCGACCGCGAGACTTTCTCGCCAAACATCCTGTGACCAATCTAAGCAGCGGAGGGACCTGGGGTCTCAAGAAAGGACAGGTAAACTTTCCATTATTTTGCTGTATTTCTCTTCAAATATGATCCCACTTTGCGATTGTGTGAATTCGTTACAAACGCCATTTCCTCATGAAAACTCTTACTAATAGCGTTCCGCTGATTCATTGACAAACAGAGTGTATCGTTTTAGTTCACAGACGACACTTCAATGGCACTTTGTCTTGGAATTTCGTTGGTTTGTCGTGGAGATTTCATTGCCTATGATCAACTCGTTCGCTATAAATGGTGGTATCGACACGGCTACATGTCTTCAACCGGTCAATGTTTCGATATTGGCGCAGCGACGAGCAACTCGCTGCGCGAATTCGAACGCCGTCAACAATGCTTCGCTGCCGAACACAAAATTCCACTTGAGCAACTCGACTTTCTCTCCAATGCTGATCTCCTCAAACAGTTTGATGTCAAATGCAGCAGCGCTGGTGTTGCGGGCAACGGTGCCCTGATGCGTTTGGCGCCCGTGCCGCTTTTCTTCCACCAAGATCCAATTTTGGCGGTCGAATACTCGGGACAAAGCGGTATCATTACTCATGGAGATCAGAAGGCCTACGATGCATGTCGCTACTATGGCGCGTTGATCGTGGCTGCAATACGTGGTGAAACCAAAAACGATTTGCTCGACAAGAT